AACTGAGCAACATTGTGCAGTTGCAGTCATTACAACTGTTCTCAGTCTGGATTTACCTTTGGAGATCAATATTAATTATTCTGCCATACATCCCCCATTTCAGAACTGCAAGCAGCTTTCATGTCTTCTCTATTTTTTTCAGTTACTCCAGAAAAAGATATTAACTCACCCTACAAGTCTTGCCATGGGGCTGTTCTGCCATTCATACAAAGAAAATTGTCTTGCTTCTCCGCAGAGTGCAACGAATTTTTCATCTTCTCACCTCACAGTTATATCTCTCAAAGAATAAAAGTAAATACAAAATTAGCGAGGATTCAGTAACAGTAGGTCAGCTATAAATACTCGTAAATGGGAAACATATAGTGAACATCTTTGGAATTACAACATTACAGCGTTCTGATTTTAGGAAAGTTACAATTAAGCTCCACTTCCATACAACCAGCTCTATATTACAAACTCAACAAAAATGTATGGTGGAGCATAAGTCCTGCTCAGTGCACCTCGTGACTTTTACCCAGTTATTCAGATACAGCACTGTCACAGTTCTGGCCTGGTTCAACCTGGTTCCTTGACTAAATGGCACAGGGGGACCCTGTGATGGGTCTAAAAACAAAACAGCAGCAACGAGCTAAGGGAGAAAATTAATTCACTAAGTATTAGAGCACAATGTGAGAGAATGCAATGTAACACAATACAATTGGAATTGTAACTAATAAACCAAACAAGAGATTGTCTAAAACCAAAGGCCTTACTCTAATGTTGAAGGTGAGACAGCTAGGGAGCATACACTGCAGAGCCAAGCAGAAAAAGAAGTCTCATGACTCCCAGTTTTCTCTTTCCCTTTAAACAGAAAATGGAAATGGAACAGTGAGGTATTCTGGGAGATACAGTTCATTCTTTCTCTTCTGTGAAATGTACCTGGAACTATCAACAGTCCATGGAACTGAAGCCTTAACTCTTTAACTCCCTGTGCATTACCTGATGTTACGATGTGGAATACCAATAGCAGAAATCCTGAAACCACAACAAGTATGCCAGGGGACAACATCAGGGCCAACACTGTCTATCTTCATTAATGGCCTGAACGTCTGGACAAAGTGCACTCTCATCAAGTTTGTAGATGGTACAACATTGCTGCTGAGGCACTAGTTGAGTGCGCTGCCATTCAAAGGGAGCTGGATTGGCTGCAGTATTAGGCTGAAAAGAATCGTGTGATATTCAACAAGAAGAAATGCAAAGTCCTGTGTCTGTCAAGAAATGACTCCCCAGTACATAATGACAGGATGAGGAGAAGCACTACAGAGAGGAATCTGGGTTCTGCAGGACAAAAAGCTGACCACAAGCCAACACTGTGCCTTCACAGCAGAGGAAGTCAACGACCTCCAGAGTCACGTTAGGCAAGGCATTGACAGCAGGTCAGCAGAGGAATTCCCTCTCCTGTACTCAGTTCTGGTGCGATACATCTGGAGCTCTGGGCTTACTGGTATGAGACAGGAAGCTACTGCAGCAGGTGCAGTGAAGGGGCGCAAAAATAACAAAGGAAGAGGATAATTTGACATGAAGAGAAGCTGAAAGAACTGAGACCGTTCAGCCTGGAAAAGAAGAGGCGTAGGGGGATCTTGTTGATGATACAAATTCTTGATAGGAAGGAATGAGGAAGAGGGAGCCAGATTCTGCCCAGTGACAGGATAACAAGTGATGAACACAAAGTGAACACCTGTGAAAGTCTGTATAAATAGGAAAAACAAAACAAAAAAAGAAAAGTTTTACTCCAGGAGAAGTCAAACACTGGAACAGATTGCCCAGAGAGGTGATGGAATTTCTGGAGATGCTCAAGCCCAACTGGACACATTTGCGAGCAACACCCTGCCTGAGCAAGCAGTGGACTAGAAAATCTCCAAAGGTGACCTTCCAGAATCTGTGATTCCAATTGAGATTCTCTGAAATTACTCTTCTTGTACCTTTGGGTGCTCCCAGATGAAACCATTAGGAATCACACAACTTCTTACCCTAATAGGATATAAGAATCTAACACCTAGAGAGCTGCATTTTTCAAGACTGTCGTGTTGTAAGCATTTACACAGTTTCATTTTTTGTGTGAAGCTATATTCATTCAATCTGGAGTTTACTTAAGTAGTTTGGACCACACTTCAGAACTTCATCACATCAGTGGTTCCACCCTCAGTCTAAAGGTAATGCTGCTTTTCCTGAATACTCTCTGATTTGGCCCTGAGAGCTCACAAGCTACACCTGCTCACTAACTGAAAATACAGCAGCAAAAATTATTTCCTGATTTGTTCGCTTGCATCAGCCCAAGACATTTCCAAACCAAACCCTCCAGGTGGGCTGAGAGGGTATGGTCTATCTCCTCTGGTTCCTGACTATTGAGTCCCACCACGTCAGAAAGTACAGCACGTCAAAAAGCCTGTGCAGTGCTCAAAAGTGAGATGGGGAGAAGCTAGGTTGGCACGATGAGATATTCTGCACAGCCCTTACTAAGCTGATGCTCAGATAAATCCCTGCTGTCTAGTGTAAACTCCTTTACCTTTTACCTCCAGTTACCTCACCTAATGATCCTCTAGTAAGATGAGGTATATCCATTATGCCCTATCCCCCATTCTTCAGGTGCCCTCTGTGCTCTGTCTGAAGTCAACTCAGGCTCTGCAGGTGGCAGTATGTCCTACCTGTTGCTAAGTCCACACGATCTCCTTTCCCTACCATGACACTGCTACCCAAAGCCTGCACAGTTTTAGAAGAAAAACAAAAGGACAAAAATGTTCTCCAGAAAATAAGTCCCCTTCTGTTAGCCTGGGCTCATGTAAGGGCCAGTCACTGAAGGATGTTGTCGTAGCTTGGCCAGGTTTGGTGAGAGGGAGCTAAGGGATCTACGGACTGGGAAGACAAAAGGGTGGGGGAAGAGGCAAGAAAACCAGCAGCAGTGAACTAAGGGAAAAACTTCATTTAAAAAATACAGTGGCGGAATGTGAGATAATAGAATACGATGGGATCTGGAGTTAATAACTCAAATAAAACAGGAGAGAGTTTACAAAACTGCATTCCTTACTCTAATGCTATAGGAGAGACAGCCAGGAGCACAGAGAGCAAAGAGAGGCAGTCTTGAGACTCCGCCAGTTTTATCTTTTTGTTCGAATGGAAATGGAACAATGAAGTCTTTTGGGAGTTGTAGCTCACTCTTTTCTTCTGAGACCAGGAAACCAGAAATGCTGACAAGCCACTGAACTGCAGTACTAACCCTTTAACTCCCAGTACAGTGTGATGTTATGATGTGGAATACTGACCAAAAATCATAAGACCACAACAAGAGATTATCTCTTGGAACTAGGCTGCTTCCTGAGAAGGAGTGCTGTGTGGCCATAGAGCCCCTTCACCAGTTGGGGGAGCACAATTTTTCTTGCTATGATTACTGGTCTACCTGTGAATGCTTTGCCTGGTATCTCCAAGAATCTGTCAGAAACAATTTTGCTCCTTTGTGAGCAGGGCACCTACATTACCTTTATGTTGTGTGTTCAGACAGTGCTAGTCTGCAGCCATGTGCAAAGCCCTATGAAATCATTAGGGAAAAACTTGTGTCAAGACATCTGAAGGCGCTTCTCCAGAAAATACAGGTGGGCAAAACACTGTGCACCTTCTCTCTCCCTTTGATCTCTTACTCTGATTCCCAGAGAAGGAAAGTGCAGAGGCTGGAAGGGAACCACAGGGCACTTCGACAGCCCGTCCACCAGTAGGGATGCATGCGGGACCGTGGCTATGCAACATGCCCACAGAGCCACTTGTCTTCAGCTCTGACAGCTACCTGCAAGTCTTGGACTTCAGTGACTGAATAGAGTGCTCACTTAACTACTAATACACTACAAACATTTCAGATAGTTACATTTAGTACTGTTGGAGCAAAGGTTTACTCTAGCTTCAATACATGGAAAACAGAATTTGCTTCTAAGGCCTCCAAGGGTAGACATAATGGCTGCAATAAAATAAATCAGTGATCTACATTTGCTGCTGTTTTCCATCCCAAACATTTCACTGTCGGAGGATAATCAGCTGAGACTACAGATGAGCCTTTAAGAAATTAGCTTAGGAGTTCCTGTGCTGTGATCAAGTTACAAAACAACAAGAGGCTCTAATACTTGGATTCAAAGTGCATGAAATTGTTATTCAGTATGAAGAATGATCATTTAATAAACCAACCTACTTGCCTTTCATCTGTCTTTATCATTTTCACCACAAGACTTACAGAAATGTCATTAGAAATTGACAGGCATCTCAGTTCATACGCAGCCTCCTTCTGTAAGATAACAAATACTTAATTGCCACCCAGGGAGTAGGGATATATTTAAGTTTCCCCCACAGCCTTATGGAGTTTGCATCCAGGTCACCTACGTTCCTATAGAGCATGCGAAGCACAAGGAACAGATGTAAAAGTATACACACACACTCAATTCACACCTCTCTACTTCTGTTCATTTTTTTCTCATGTGAACAAATGAAGAACCCATCTGGAGATCAAGGGGAAAACAAACAAAAACTGCACATAAATAGAAGGCATTCCTGGAGCCTGTACTGATTGTAAGCCTGTGTAGCTACTTCTACTATAAACAGTAATTGAATAAATTGTTGATATGGTTTTCAGACTAAGAATTAGAGCCACATTTAACTCTCTTTCAGGCAAAGTCCCTGATCACAAGGCTTTCAGCTTTGCTCCTGCTGTTGTTTCCTCACTGGGGAGCAGGAGGCAACTCTATGCTGAGCAGTTCATCAGCAGGATCTGTCTGGGATGGAAGACCCTTTCCCAGTTCGGGACCTGTTTGTAGCTGAATCTTATTTCTCCTCTCCAAAGTCTCAAGACAATACTGAATCCTGTGTTCCTGCACTGCCCTATACTGGTCAAGTGCTCTCATCACCTTATCCAACAGCACAGCCTTAAAAGTGCACAGAACTGTGCTGCAGTTCAGCACATACAGGACTGCTGAACATGACAGGCAGCTTCAGAGACACCCAGACTCGTCTGTGCCAGCAGCAGGAAACAAGGAGCACCCCAGAGCACCTCAACTTTCATCAGTGCCTGCATGTGGGGAACTGAGCCAAGTTCCTAGCTCCATGTGCACACCGACATGAGGACACCTATGTTCAGGAAAGCAATCAACTGGAAACTGAATCTCACTCTTCCTCTGAAATGCTGCAGTCTTCTTTACAACATTTTTAGATGACTTTATAAGAACAGAAAAAAAATCCGTAAATACATGATTTAATTAAAATTTGTCACCTTTGCTTGATCTTAAAGAGCACTTTCTCTATTAACAAATTTGATACATGAAGAAGGAAAGACAATTCAATCTCTACAATCTCCACTAGATTTTTTTTATCTCTCTCCATCAAAATATTTCTAATCCCTTTCTACACCCCTGGTATTCACCCAAAAGCTAATATTAAAATCCACCCCATCTTCATTCTTATTTTCATCTTTATAGATCAAAAGTATCTCAGATAATCTGTGATCCTGAGCAGATCCCAAGCAGCAGCCCAAATACAAAGTGAGGTAGAATAGAAAATAAAGGATATGCAATAACTATTTCTCCTGCTATCATAGAATCACCGAGGTTGGAAAAGACCTGCAAGATCA